CATGGTTGCATCACCTACATATGACGCAGCTACATAATTCTCTGTGTGCATGCGTGAGCTCCATCATCTGCATATGACATAGCTACATCAACACCCTGTGTGCATGTGTTAGGCAGCCTTTAAAAGCTGGACATGTCATCTTCAGCTCTCACTTTTTGCATACCAACTTCACCAGGCCTATATACATCTCCTGTAATAAACTCCTAACCAGGTTTGTTGCATGCTTCATGCTTCCTTCTCACTCAAGCCAGGTAATTTCAGAAAGGAATAAAACATGTAAAAGTTACCAATGAGGTAGGAGAGAACTTAGAAAAGTCATCATCTGCTGTTAGAATCATAAAGACAGAGATCTGAGAATTTCCCATTATGCTCTGTAATATATAGGTCATTGGTGATTAAAAAAATGGAATTGAAAAAAATTGAAGAGAATATCAGACTCTTCATTATGTTATACTGTAAATAAAACCAGATAAATGGTGTAGCCGTTACAGAGAGATGTGAAATTTGAGGAGGGTTTTATTTTATTTTTGTTGGAACCCACAAGACTATACATTTGAATGTATAGCTGACAGACCAATAGACAGATTCAAAGGGAATGTATGATTATTTCCAGTCTTCTACTCCTCCTAGGTGAGTCTGCTTCTTTTTTTTTTCTAGAGCTTTCAGGTGGGCTGTTAAGTCTCCAATGTGTGCCTTCTCTGTTTTCTTTAAGTGGGCACTTAGTGCTATGAACTTTCCTCTCAGGACTGCTTTCATAGTGTCCCATAAGTTTGAGTAGGTTGTTTCTTTATTTTCATTGAATTCAAGGAAGACTTTAATTTCTTTCTTTATTTCTTCCTTGATCCAGGTGTGGTTCAGTAGTTGACTGTTCAGTTTCCATGAGTTTGTAGGCTTTCTGGGGGTAGGGTTGTTGTTGAATTCTAACTTTAATCCATGGTGATCTGATAAGATACAGGTGGTTACTAATATGTTTTTGTACCTGTGGAAGTTTGCTTTGTTACCGAGTATGTGGTCAATTTTCGAGAAGGTTCCATGAGCTGCAGAGAAGAAGGTATATTCTTTCCGATTTGGGTGGAATATTCTATAGATGTCTGTCAAGTCCAATTGATTCATTACCTCCATTAATTCTCTTAGTTCTCTGTTAGGTTTCTGTCTGATTGACCTGTCCATTGGTGAGAGAGGAGTGTTGAAGTCTCCCACTATTAGTGTGTGCGGTTTGATGGCTGCCTTGAGTTTTAGTAATGTTTCTTTTACGTATGTGGGTGCTTTTATATTAGGGGCGTAGATATTCAGGATTGAGACTTCCTCTTGATGAATTGATCCTGTTATGAGTATAAAATGTCCCTCTCCATCTCTTCTGATTGATTTAAGTTTGAAGTCAAGTTTGTTAGAAATTAGTATGGCCACACCTGCTTGTTTCTTAGGTCCATTTGCTTGATAAGCCTTTTCCCAGCCCTTTACTCTGAGTAGGTGCCTGTCTCTGTGTTTGAGGTGTGTTTCTTGTAAACAGCAGAATGTTGGATCCTGATTTCGTATCCAATCTCTTAGCCTGTGCCTTTTTATAGGTGAGTTGAGCCCATTGACATTAAGTGATATTAATGACCAGGGGATGTTAACTCCGGTCACTTCTTTAGTAGTAGAGTTCGTGTGCGTCCCTTCTTTGAGTTGCGCTGGTGACGGGTCTCTAGATGTCTGAGTTATTGTGGTCATTGTTGGACTCCTTGGTTAGAGATTTTCCTTCTATTNCAAAAATCCTCAACAAAATACTGGCAAACCGTATCCAAGAACACATTAGAAAAATTATCCATTATGATCAAGTAGGCTTCATCCCAGAGATGCAGGGCTGGTTCAACATATGAAAATCTATTAATGTAATCTACCATATAAATAAACTGGAAGAAAAAAAAAACATATGATCAAAGGGAATGTATGTATTCACATCCACATGAAGAACCCATTCATCAAAGCTGCAGAGACACTTGTATTTTGGAAAAGTTGCTGTCAAATCTGTAAAATCCTTGTGAAGACAAGATTCTTGCTCCAAAATAGGATTCATTCCCCAAATACCTCATCATTGTAACTTCCTCCTGCACAGGCAATGAAATGACTTGCCCTGAGGCATTAGAGTGATAACATTCACTCTTGTTTTTTTTTTTTTTTTAATCAATCAAATTTACATAAGGTTGATCATCCACAATTACCTTTGCTAACAGAGCACATAGGCACTTCAAAAAGATAGGAAGACATCTGGGGTTCAGGGATGTTTATTAACTTTATCTAATGTTTTGGAATGTTAGATATTTCCCCTTGGAAGTTGGGTCCTTCCTGAATGGTATCACCCCCTTCCTGGAGTGCTGCTTTGTCAGGTTCGACCTGCCTCTTAGTGATTTTCAAATGCATATGGCATCATTCTTTTGTCTATGGAAATTTTTAACCATGTCTGTAAAAACTAAAAACCTAGTGGAAATTGCCTTTCCTCACTGCTCCTTAGCCCATACCAATAAAGAACATGTAGAGATAACATACATGAGATGATTTATTCTGTTTATCCTGAAATCCAATTACTCATGTTTTTGCTTGCCATAGCAAATTTTATCTAGACACTGAGGAGGAGCTCAGACTGGTACTCAAGGCCCCCAGTATATTTTAGGATGGGGAACATGACAAAAAAAATAGATATCAACTACAGGTATTTGAATAAAATGTGGAAGGGAACAGGACAAAGGAAAAAGAGAGCAGTAAGACTAGGTAGGATTGAGGGAAAAAATATAGTATCAATATTACATAAAATACAAACTTTATTTCCTCTTATTTCTGATCTAAGTATGCAATAATGCATTACTTCAGTAATTATAACTTTATAGACGTAAGTAGATTTTCCTATTGAACCAAGAAAATTCTACACTGACATCCAAAGGGACTGTGCCAGATTGCATTCCCAACAATAATGCAGAAGTGTTCCCTTTTCCCCACAACCTCTTCAGCAAAAGTTGTCATCAGTGTTTTTGATCTTGGCAGTTCTTACAGGTCTAAAATGGAATCTCAGAGTTGTTTCGATTTGCATTTCTATGATGACTAAAGATGTTGAACATTTCTTTAAATGTTTTTCAATCATTTTAGATTCCTCTGTTGAGAGTTCTCTGTTTAGGTCTATATTCCATCTTTTTATTGGATTATTTGTTCTTTTGAGGACCAATTTCTTGAGTTCTTTGTATATTTTGGGGCTCAGACCTCTGTCTGATATGGGGTTTGTGAACATTACATTTTAAATGAGCTGAACAAACACAACACTTTAATCAAGATTTGTATAGGTATATATACCTTAAATTTGTATCAAAAAACTAAGATCCCTTCCAATACTAAGTATCCATCATTATAGCATATCCCCTTTTTAAATGTAAAGACAAATATATAAACTATATTTGGGGATTTGGGCATAGTTCTTTCCAAACTGCTTTCTGTTTTTTTGTTGGGTGATGTAATTTTTGGGGTGTTCATGACAACCTTTTGGGGGTCTTGGTCCATCAAACAACATTACTCTAGAATTAATCTATAGAGTCTAATATTCTATGGAAACAAAAGCAGAACCTCTTTTCTAAAGCAATGATTCCTCAGACCCAAGTTCTGAAGTCATTAAACTTTAAAATATCTATGATTGTTTAGTGTATCAGCCCATACAATGAAATGTTTCTCTGTACTAAGCTTATTCACAATCAAAAAATTAAAGAAAAACAACAATAATATTCATAATCCAGACTCTCTTATATATTCAATCTTTACCTGGCTTGTTTATACTCTATTAATTTTTAATATTTATTTTATTATCTTTAGTCTTTTAATCTATGATTCTCTGTACTCGGTCTCTTTAAAGACTTCGTTTTACTCTTTTTTTAATTTATTTTCTTCTTTTTGTAACTCTCTACAATTTTTCTTCTCTCTCCCAAGCCTATGTACATTTATTTATCCAACAGTGTAATCCATTCCATTTAGAAGTCTTTTCCATCTGGATTTTTCTTTATTGCTTACCTGTAATCCTTTTCTGACCAGAACCACTTTTTTTTCTCCCCCTAATTGGCTCAGGGCCGATAGGGCCCTGCGTGCCTGCTTATTCTACCCAGTCCAGCATTGTGGAGGCATGTCCAATGCCTCTGTATGCAGCACATCAGCACATACTGCCCCAGTTTCTAGTATTCAGCAGGGCTATGTGGAGCGATTAAGCAATTTGTAACATGCTGCTCACGGACCCTAATTAAATGCTCCATAGCTGGACCTCCTGAAAGAGTCACAGCCGTTTGTGCTGGCAAACCACGAAGCTGCCATTTTTTCCATATTAAACTTGTAGTTTTATTCAGGCTTGATTTTCAACAAATGTTTCAGGGAGAGCTGAAGGAAAGGGAGAATCCCATGGGGGCAAGGGCTTCCCAGATGCCTGAGGAGGGATTGTGTCTGCTTCCACCCTCCAAAAAAACGGGGCTTGGGGAAGAGACACAGGCAGGGAAGGGGGCTGGTTCCCAGTCTGTACAAGTGGTGCTTGGGGGGAAAGCAGGGGACCAGACCAGGGATAAGTGGTATAAAGGACACAAGATCCTTTGCCAGAATTCACAGCTTTCTGATTCCAAATTGAATTAAAAAGAAAATAAGGGATGTGGGGGGACCTAAACCACAAGCAGTACCCAATTCCTTTTACCCCACCAGGGCTGTGAGGGAAGAGGCAAGTAGCTTCACCAAGGCCATGGCTTCCTCATTCCTGGCCAAGGGAGTTAGGTGAAGGGCAGGGTCTCCCCGACAGTTTGAAAGGGGTCAGGGAAACCAAAATAAAACACGAAATAAATTGTATAGCAGTCTAGCCAAGGGCCCAGCCAGAACAGAACCCAGCTCTGGGAAGGAACTCTGTAGGCTAAGGATCTCTGCTGCCACCACTGCCACTCAGTGAGCCAGTTATTTTGCCATGGCCTTAATTACAACAGCTCCCTCCCTTGTCATGGCAGACAGCACTGTGATCAGGATCTTTCCTCCAAAGTGATACTCTGCTCAGTCTCCTTGCCAAGATCTCCCTCGGTCAGACAAAAGTTCTCTTGTTCCTCCCCAATGTCCTGGAGCAGGGATAGGTACCCATGCTGGATTTCAGTCTGCTGGAAATCATTCCTTTTGATGTTTGAGACATCCATATTATGAATTGATGGGCAGGTATCTTCATATTTTTTTCCAGTAAAAATGTCAGTACCAACCACGTGAACCTTGGCATGGCCATGCTTGCCAGTCTTCAAAGTAGACATCTGGACAATCTTACATGGCTGGCCTTTGAGCACCACAAAACCATTTTTACATAATGCTGAGCACTGCATTGGGAAGGTGGCTGAGGCCCCTGCATCTCCTGTCTAGAAGTCCAAATCATCTGCCATTTTAAGAGGCTTCGATTCCAACTTGTGCAAATGTACTGTTTTGACCCTGTCCGCTGCTCACCCATCTGCTGCCTCTAGCACCACTGCTATAGCTGCACACGGGTCTTAGTTCACAAGAACCGTTTCCCCACAGACAAACCAAGCAGCCCGTTTTGAAACTGCACAGTACTGCTAAGTAAGGAAGCCCTCTCTTAAAACAATCATGCCTCTGCTTGTTTTTAGCAAACAGAGTACACCCGAGAAAATGCTTAACTTTGTGTGTGTGGGGGTGTGTCTAAAATTTCTTTTTTAAGCTTTCTCAGGTTTTACGTGGATTTAGTTGGAATCCCACATCATATGTTCGTTTAGCTTAGCAGTGCATACAATGAAATGTTTTTCTGTACTTAGCTCATTCACAGTCAAAAACTTCAAAGAAAATGCAGCAATATACATGATCCAGACTGTGTATTTTCCAATTTACATAGCTTATTTTCTTACTCTATTACTTTTTCTACAAGTTTTATATTTATTTTATGATCTATACTTCTTTAAACTATGACTGTCTGTGCTCTTTCTCTTTAAAGTCTTTGTTTTACTTTTTTTTTTCTTCTTTAAATCCTAAGCAGTATGTGTAGTGACCAATTCCGCGGTCCTGCCTGCTTGCTCTCCCTAGTCCAATATGGTGAAGGCTTGTTTGCTGCCTCTGAGAACCATTCTTTCTGCCCCAGATCCAGAGATGTAGTGGGTCTGTGTCACCATAATGCAGTTGTAACATACTGCTCACAAATCCCAATGAAGTGCTCAGCATCCTGAGTTTGTGCTGGCAGTACAAATCAGGAAGCTGCCATTTTGAATTCATATGTTGTTTTTTACTGCTACTTCTGAATCAGAAAGACCACTCTTAAAGAAACTATAGAGCTCCTACTTACTACCAGAAAGCAGAGCCCATCCAGGAGAAAAAAAAATTGCAGCAAACTTTGTTGATGTTTTTGTGTGTATGTTTGTCTAGAATTCTTTTCCGAGCTCTCTCAAGTATTATGCGGATTTAAGTGGCACACATTGACATGTCAATCTGTTGTTGGAGAATGCTTCTTCATTCCTGGCTGCCCAGATCCAAAATAATAAGAAAGAGACTATATTATTTGTAATACTGTTTTGCCAGTATTAAGTGTATGGCACTTATATCTTAACCCATTTCTGTTAATCTGTGTATTGCCACATGATTGTGGCCTACCAGTAAGTTTCTGTGCAGCTCCAGCATCTGTCTTCTGTGGCAGCTACATGGTTTCACCTTGACTCTGCCTACTCTCTGCCCCTCTATCTACTTGGAATTTTTGTCTCGCCCTATTCTGATAAGCCACTAGCTGAAAGAACTTTATTCATTAACCAATATAAGCAACACACAGAAAAAAGGACTTCCCACACTAGGTTACCTCATTCAATATATTTTCTAGATCCATCCATTTGTCCACAAATTTCAAGATGTCATTATTTTCCACTGTGCAGTAGTACATTGTGTAAATTTACCATATTTTTCTCATCCATTCTTTGGTTGGGGGTCATTTAGGTTGTATCTAGGTTCAGGCTATAACAAATAATGCTGCTATGAACATAGTTGAGCACATGTCCTTGTGGTATAATTGAACATCCTTTGGGTATATACCCATCAGTATGGAGATTTCTCAGAAAGTTAGGAAACAACCTACCTCAAGACATAGAAATAACAAACTATTTTTAATAGAGTTTTAAATTTTCTCAATATAAAAATAGCATTCTATCACCTTAGAATTGGTAGTTATTTAGAGTAATTGGTTTTAGAGTTGATTCTTCATTAGTAAGGAAGCAAATGGCAGAAGCACTACAATGTCACTCTTTGTGCTAATTTCTGCTACTTTGGCTGCAGATTCTATGACCTTACACTCCTCTCTTAATATGTGCTTATATAAAACAATTTTTTATACATGAAAAGCTATTTTTTTCTGGCAGAATATTAATGTTCAATGTCAATGCCTAAGATACTTTAGACTAGATTAAATATCAAGACAGGGGATTCAATTCCTATTATTATATAAAAACAGATTAAATAAAAAAATACATCTGTTTTTTGACAGGTGCCTAGGCAATAAGAACTGAAAGGAATTTTGTCACTGAAAATAACTAAAGTAAAATATATATGCATAAGTAATATGAAATTATCTATATTAAACAAATTCATTTTGGTTAACAGCAAGAAAGTTGATAGTATTAAATATATTCATTTACTGTACAATAAGTACTAATCATGAAACACATACTGATACACACCTCTTGGGTAGTGATTATGTAAAATTAAGTTTTGTCTCTGTAATGCTGATATAATTTGGACCCAGGGAAATCTCCTTGAAAAATCATAAACTGTCTTTATAACCCCAACAAAATATTGATGTATTTTTAATGAATGTTTGATTTTCTTTGAATAAACTTTAAACTATCCATTAAACAGATGCATGTGGAATGTCTATTATACTCATGACCACCATTATTCACCCTTTCCTTCACATTAAAAGCATTTTACTTAGGTCTTATTAAAAACATAATTATTGATAACACAAAATAACATTTACAGAATATCTACCAAATCTCCATGAATTATGCCATATACTAAGAAGAGCTAAAGGTAGATACTATAACATTGTTTTTAGCTTTCATAATTCTAGTGTACATTTGTAGACAAGAGAAATGTCCGTATCCTCATATAAGGCATGACATAGCATGAGATATTATCAAATGGTTGATTCTCTAGCAAAATCTACATCAAACCTTAAAGGCTTGGGAATGTTCAGGAATAAAGAAAAAGGATTTTTTATGTTAGTGTTCAAGAGAAATCTGCTAAATGTATGAGTGAAGAAATGTGACAGCACTTATACTATTAGATATCCATGTTTGCATGCAATCATAATATGTAATGTTAGATTTTATATTTATTAGTAAGCTGTTTTTCCACACTAAAAGTTTATCATTGTGAATATCATGAGTTTTTTTTTAGAAGAAACATAACTATTTTATTGTTGGAGTACACTGTGGCTTCAAATTTACATATTTTCTGGATTTACAAAATTGTAAACAAACTTAAAAGGTTAAAAAAGGTCTGAAAAAACAAAAGAGTATAAAGAATATTGACAGATAAATTTTGTCTAACAAAATAGTTTTTAATCAATGTAGACAAACTTACTTCTCAGTTTATCTTTTGTGTTCTTACCTCTTTATCATCTATATGAAAGAATTACAGAAGGGATGTTAAAGATATTAAATCTCTAAGGCAGCAGTACACTTTAGTCTTTCATAAAATTGGGGATTTAAGCAGTAGTGTAAATGGTTGGGTAAAGAATAAGATCCATGTATGACAAACAATAATATGGATTAATCTAAGGCCATGCTAAAGTTGAAAGTTACATGCACTATTTTTTTTCTATTCCCTTTATTCTAGAATGAGAATCTAGTACATTATAAAATATAATTTAAAGTTGGTTTTGTTGGTTATGTTACCAGCAAAATAAATGCAGTTCAATTTCTAAAGTTCCTATGATCATGGGAGATACTGTCAAGCCACAGACAGACATCTGCTATGTGGAATCTCTTATAATCTCTTTGTACTGACAAGTGATAATGAAACACTTGGAGGACTCCTCTTCAGTTCTTACTAATCTAAAGATGTGCATTTTCTTGACTCCTGGAGACAGGAATAAATCATAAATGAGAATATTCCTACAGGAGGGTTCTGGAAGGAGGCCACTCAATTAGTTTTCAAGACTGCCTAGGAGGAACAAGGCTAAAAGAAGCTGTTCTTTGATGGAAAAAATATATACAACTTATAAAAAAACTTATACTTAGCCATTAAAAAATTCGCTAAGTGATTTACAAGACTAGTTTTCTTTCTCTTTTGACTATAAAAGGTATTGTGTTTTTAAAAGAATTTGTCACTTACAGAATACAATTATTTCTTAAAAGGACAAAATACAGACTTTACATCTGTTACCCTTAAATCTTCTAAAAGTAAAACAATTGCTTTGTTTGTCTTCTTCCCAGAGTTAGATAATGTGGAACTGAATATGTAGCTAATCTTTAAAATAGAACTTGTTATATAGCAAACATCTAAAACGCATCAAATTATTAGATACTTTTGCATAATGTATTTGATACATGCATATTAGGTTGAGAAATATTTAAATAAAAAGACAAATCTTAAAATTTAATGTAATATAATAATCAAAGTGTGAAATATCTATTAATTTGGAGATTTCAAGATAGTAACCAAAAGAAATTTTTCTACTCTGAGAAATTTTTATTGCCTGGTTCCATCTCTGTTTATGATGGGAGCAGAAATAGGAGATTGTAAGACAGCACATGATTTCTTACAGAAAATTTTCAGTATATATTGTATTTAAGGGTTATAATTCTTTTTTTGTTTATTCCGCTTTATTATATATGAAGGCTAATCACAAGTGGTCAGGCATGGAAAAATCCCAGGATGAGCTAAACTCTAGATACTCAAAGTCAGACAATTATTTCAATGGATTATTTGCAGGCTTTGTCTGATAGAAGCCTCAACATCCTGAAAAAAAATAGATTACATTAAATGAATAAGTTATTTTAAAAATTATATGTTTGTTTACCTAGATATGACAAACAAAATCTAGGTAAATGAACATATAATTCTTAAAATAAGACAAAAACCAAAGACTGGGATGGATTTCCATAGTAAGGAATCTAAGAGGGGAGACAATTGTCAGCAAGAAAGACAAGCAAACCCATATGACAGTACAATTCACAAACAATTGAAGATTTTTATTTTATTGTAAACATTTTTCCTTAAAATAATCTGTTTTCTATCATATTAGATTATAATGGGAAATAGTCTAGATAGGAAGGAACAAATAAGGGAAGGAGGGAAGGAAGGAAGTAAAGAAGAAAGTAAGAAGGGAGAA